GGGGGGGGGGGAGTGGTGTAGGCGAATCTGCACAGAATCTTCAAAACTATTCCGCATCTGGAATTTGCAGTTACATGAAAGAACTAGACACTTTTAGGCTTTAAGAAAGAAATACACTTATAACAATATTTGTTGATCAAATATGGTCGAACGAGTTTGCAGATTGATGCACCAAAGTTTAACTTGGAAGTTGACACTCCATTAACAGAAAGTGCAACAAAAAGGAACAACCTGTTTGTAGAAAAACGAAATGCTCGGGGTTAAGTCATAGTTGTATTGAAAACAGCTATGTCGTCTTTTCTCACCGGAGACGAGACAGTAAAAAGACTCCACTGTTACTGGTTCACTATAATTAAAAATAAGAATGTTTACGGATCTGCAGTAGAAATTATTCATGATTCGAGAGGTCATAGCCCGACTTTAAACAAACAGTGCTCAAACGAATGCTGCTTGCAGACCTATATCGTCCTTCAAATTTCTTTTTGATGATAATCTCATCGAAAAAGTAAAAGGCGTGAAATCCCTCGTGAAGATCGGCAGCTCATGTAAGCCTGAAAATATATCCGATACTAGCATGAAGAAATCCTTCATTCGATATCTAAATCAGGTACACAATATAAAAGCTTGTCTGTGAAACTAGGATCCTCCCAGACCGGCATTTGACAGACTTTGAGGATGGGGCCGTACTCGAGGAACAGACTATCGCAGAAATGTCAGAGCTGTACCAACGGGCCTACAATCAATGGACAATCTCGAGGAAAAGCAATTAGAAATGAGAAGAACAGCAAGTCGACTAAAAAGACTCCTTAAGATATAGGAAAAAATTACAAGTGCTAAATATGGTTCTTAGCTGCATTTGGGTTTGTAAGATTTCCGTGTCGGAAAATTTAAAACAATCGTACACTCCATATATTCACCACTTATTCAAGAACTTCCAAACACGACTTCAGCCCGGAAGCTAATTATAACTATTTGATACGATGCGGAAATGTATTTGTGATATGTTTTTAAGATTCATTGAATACCGGTTTAACATGCAACTGTATATTATATCAGTTCAAATGCACGTTGTAGTTCCAAGTAACGAAATTGATCTTGTTTGAAACGCCATGTTATTCACTGATTTATGGTTGAATAGAATATTTAATTGTATGTGATATTTGGCACCAAAAATAATTTTTTAATAGACATGCAGACTTCCTTTATCGAATAAATTTGATTTACAGGGCGAAATACGAATATACTTAAAGTTATTAAGTCAATGATATCGCACAACAGAAATTTTTAGAAACAAAATAGAAACGAATGCTGTATGGCAATAACTTTATGGCAATACTTTATCATTGAAA